CGCCCATACGTTCATGCATTATCTGTACACTGGAAAGTACGAATCGCTCAAGCCAGCTGCTTCCCCTGAATTTCTCGAACATATTCTGCTTGTTAGGCTGGCTGCTAAAACTTGCGAATTGCCTATGCTGGAGACCTGTATAGATGCGGAAATTAAGGCTACCATGTATTTGACGGGAACTGAGGAGGTACTCGAAACGGCAAGGAAAATGCACAAATACTTTCTGAACGACAACTGGTTTTATTATTGGTTAACGAACTTTATGATGGAGGTATTTGGACCGGATGATAGCCTATCCGAGCTCGAAAAGACCGGGTTCCTATATATCCTAGGGGAGGATCCAGCGTTTGATAAACCATTGATCAGAATTGCCCTGGCCTTATTGACAACAGATGAGTAGTTATTGTGTCAAATTCAACCAAATCGGAATCTCCTAGTGATTTCGAACCCCGACACTACGGGAACAGGGTTTGGCAGTGAGAGAAAACATCGGATGCCAAGGATCTGAATTGGATGCGTCCTCTGGCCGTTTTGGAAACAAGATAAAAATAGCGAGACTTTCGAGTTGTTTCGTGGACTCTGCTATTTAACTCGACCCTATCAATAACAACGGCTCTTCTACTCACTGAAATGTATTTCTCTGTACAGATAGTTGGTTACTATATACGGCTCTATCAAATCATCGTAGCAAAAATCAAAAATCCATCGCCCACACAGAGGCTCGAACTCTGGACATATCGGTCAACTGGTATATTTAGATGCGTAGTAAAAGCCGATCACTCTACCGACTGAGTTATGCGGGCTGGCTGGAGGTCGAAAATTTCACAGCGGAGAAGAAACGGCAAAGTTGACCCATGGCCGTTTATAGTGGAGCGCATATTGTATATTGAGGTCTGAAGGGGATATTCTTTTACTTGGAAAGGAGGGAAAGGGGTATTTTAAGGGGATGCTATTGTTAAGCTGTCCTGCTCCGCTAGTACTGCCCGTCAATAGTAAGTGTCCCGGTCTTGGTGATCATGTACTCAGCGACAGCGACATCCTTTCCACTCTCCTTGCCATATCCTGACTCCTTTATCCCGCCAAATGGCGATTCTGCAGCTGACGAGTTTCCTATGTAGAGAGGTAGTTAGAAGATATTTCTCTGGCCATAAATCAACCATGGAGTCCATACCTGTATTCAGTCCAATCATCCCTGCTTCTAAATTCTCTAGCATCCTCCATATGCGATCAACATTCTTGGTGAATGCATAGCTGGCCAACCCCATGCTTGTATTATTGGCGAGTTTCACCACCTCATCCTCAGTCTCGAACTTGTACAGTGCTGCAATAGGGGCGAAGGTCTCTTCTCTGGAAATGAGCATCTCTGGCCTCATATCGGTGATGATAGTTGGTTCGAAGAAGTAACCACCAAGATCAGTCATAGGTTTACCACCAAGGATAACGTTCCCTCCCAGCTTCTTAGCATCTTCCACCTGGCTCAGCGCCTTATCGAGACTTCGGGGCGTGGTGACTGGTCCCATCGTAGTTCCGTCCTTCGCCCCATGGCCAACGACCAATGCCGCCGTCCGTTCTCTGAACATTTGCGCAAACTTCTCATACACTCCACTTTGAACGTAGACTCTGTTCGCTGTAATGCATGCTTGTCCGGCATGACGCCATTTAAGGGCCATTAGCTGGGTGAGAGCCTGCTCCAGATCAGCATCATCAAAGATAATGAACGGACAATTTCCACCAAGCTCGAGGGTTACTTTCTTCAGGCCCTCTGCGCAGTGTGCGGCAACCAGTTTCCCCACGCGCGTAGAGCCAGTGAAGGTGACTTTCTTCACTTGTGGATGTTTACACAGGGCCTCGCTGAGAGAAGGGGTATTTTCAAGATCAGTCGTCAGCACGTTGAATATACCGGGCGGATAACCTGCCCTTTTAGCAAGCAACGCAAGCACAAGCGTTGTGATGGGCGTCTCCGGACTAGGTTTCGCAATCATAGTGCATCCAGCAGCAAAGGCAGCACCAGCCTTTCGGAGGATCATGGCAATCGGGAAGTTCCATGGAACCAGCGCCACCGCAACACCAATTGGCTGTTTGATGGTGAAGACTCTTCGATTCGGAGCTGCAGGCACTGCGATACCGCCGTGGATCCTCTCCGCTTCTCCTGCAAACCACCAGGTGAATCCTAGAGCATAGTCGATCTCACCTAACGACTCTGCAATCGGCTTTCCGGTTTCGTGAGTCAAAATTTTGGCAAGATCAGAGCGTGCTTCACGGATGAGCCCGTCCCATTTCATGAGCAGCTGAGCTCGAGTTCGGGGGTTTACTTTCTTGAACTTCTCAAACGCAGCATGGGCTGCTTCTACGGCAGCGGGAACATCTTTGGCCGTGTTGTTTGGACAGCTCGCCCAGGCTTTGCCGGTGCCAGGATCTATAACTTGTCAGTCCTTGTCAAGTGTGAAATGATAGCCATGTTAGATTAGACAGGCTGACATCATTAGTACAACGCACCTAGCACTTCAAATCGACCTCCATCCTGGGCAGCAACCCATTCGTTATTCACGAACGAGTCGAATTGAAGTAGACTGGGATCGTCCAGCTATACTAGACGTTAACATCCTTTTTCACAGCAAACATCTGAAGAAGAATACGTACTTGGAAGGGAATCTGGTATTCTTTCGCCATTTTGTAGTGATCTGTATTTAATTATATATCTCCTTCACAAGATGGAAGCAGTCGATGTTATACTCCATGTTTTGTAGGGATTTTGACCATTTCCCCGCAGACTTTTAGCCGGACAAAATCCCCGAGATCCGGCGTTCTCCCCGCAAACTCTCGATGAATCTAGACGTGAAAATGGACGTGGACATTTCTTCGACCTCGCTCATTATTTTTGATAACTATTGAAACAGCCATCTCGATCGCAGGTTTCAAGTGGGAAGTACGGAGTATTCATGTGTTGGATAATGATACAACGACCGGAGATATTCCTGAGACGGACGCTACTTTCCGCCACGCAGGTCCCAAGCGTCGTGATGTGCGAGCATGGCCAGGGGATGCATTCACGTCAAGAGAGAGAGACAATCACACCTGGGTAGCGTCCATGGTTACTGGGCTGAGTGCAGACAGGACGATTAGAACTAGGTTTCTTCGGGATTGATGATCCCTGGAAGATGCCAGCCTAGCGAATATTTCCCCAAGGTCGTAGCGCATATTCATCACGCTTTGCCAGACCCCGGATGGACTTTCAGGGGTAAAACGAGACATCTTGATATATGTCCGTACGACAGCCCTGCTCTCATCGCGACGGGAACTTGTCTCTCCCCTCTTTTATATGTTTCAGTCGTCTCGCCTCATCGAATGCATCGGTTGATCAACGGGTGTAGAATCTAGAGCGAAAGATGATCTATCTCGCACGCGATGTTGCGAAATACGATCGCCACACTGGAAAAAGAAAGATCTCATGCGTCTTGACCGATATACTAACGTCCCGCAAAGATGGTGGTACAAAACGGATTTCCGTCCTACCTGATGTCTTAGCCAATTATACAGGCCTCCGGTCCTCCATCCAACCCTCAAGTCATTGGTGGATTTAAATATCCATCCATGATGTATAACATGTACACTTTTGACGGGGCTGGTGCCCACAGAAGGAAGGATAGTGTATATATAGCCCCCCTGTGCGATGATGTATATAAGGGGCAGCCTGGATTAACGGCCATGATTTATACCATGGAACATAACACGTAAACGGGAGGTCATCGTGAGAAGGCATACTCCGTACAAGTGTCCAACTTCAACCTGAACCGACGTTCGAACCCATGAATATTGGCTTTTGCGAGAGGCGATCTTCGAACATTCTACTGCTGGCGATCGCTCGGCAGAGGAAGATAGTGTGTGCTTCGGTGGCTTGAATGCATGCAGGCTATTGATCAGTTGCAAGCACGACAAAACCAAGTGGCCAAGTATGTCGATATATCTCTATCCGATCCCGCATATTTTTTCATTTTGTCCCCTCGCCCCTCATCCCTCGCTCCCTTCGCAGTGAATATGAATATCGATGCCTCCTCGATAAATCAACTCACCAGTCTACTCCATCAGCGCATAGCTCCCCATACGCGGCGATGCAAAGCCCATCCACTACCAGCCCAACTCCTATTCCCACTCCAACCGGTGCCGCCTTTGATGCGGTGATGGATGAAGAGAATGCCCATAAACGAAGGGTTCTTATCGCTGTACTCGGACCCTTTTTCGGCCTTTGCGTGCTCATTATCGCGATATCACTGGCAGTCCGGTACTGGAAAGAAAAACGAAAACAAAACAACGTGAAATCGGCAACGGAAATGAATCAATGTCCGGACGACGTGGGCTCAGTTGTGTATTCACCTACTCTCACCAAATATCCAAGGGACATTGAGGCACTGTCCTGGAAACCGAAACCTGCGCGACATGAATTACCTGGGTCGCACTGTTAGCTTGGGCGGAGTACTTGTACGGAAAATATGGAGATATATTCGATTGGGTTTGGGGCTCGCAATGGCGCTGGAACTGGAATGATGCCGTGGTTTGGTCTGGTTTAGGTCTGTGTTTGGGGCTTGGGTTTCGATCATTTGTCTTGTGGTTTTGTTTTCAGCCTGGAGTTATTGGGATATTGGTTTGAGCGAAAGGGGTTTTCATGGCCTGGATAATTGTCAGCCTTTTAGTTGTTTCTTCTGTTCTTCATGTTACGATTAGCGATAGATATCACAGTTGTTTGACTTGCTGATGCTTCGATGTTTCTCTAAAAACGCCCAAACTTCTTAGGCGCTGGACACGGAGAAACTTTCTTCCAGGCCTTCTCCCAAAACTCCAGCCCGACTTTCTTCTCTCTCTAATTACAGCGATACAAGATGAGTGGATGACGACGAGAATGATAAATCGTATATCTGATTGACTAGGGGATTTGTGGTTGCTGTTCCTATCTCTATTCAATAGAGGCCCGCCCTCGGCGTGAGGCTGTGGTAGCCTAGGTTCAACCCAAATATGGCTGATATCTTGACGCTGCATCATTTTAATGATGTCGTGAGTTCCTCTCTATATATGGACTTATACGGACTTACGGGCTCGAGTTTGCTAATAAAGTATGAAGTATCACATTTCAAACACCGATCTTATAGCAAAATTTGCTCATATCTTTACCCATTCCAAACGGGGCAGCAGTAGCTCAGCTATCCCACCGTTGACCATATTCGGCGGAGATGTTTTCTCTCCATCCACTGAATCATCCGTGCTAAAGGGCGAACATATGGTTCCTGTCCTCAATCACTTGAATATTGATCTTGCTTGCTACGGGAATCACGGTATGAAGCTCGTTGATTATCCCTGTTAGCTTATGCTATCCCGCCAGTGCAACGAGTTATTCAAGTACCCCTGAGCGAACCAGTATATATGTTAATCCGAATTCTAGACTTCGACTTCGGTGAACACCGACTCATAGAGTTGTCTAAAAAGACAAATTTCCCGTGGTTACTATCAAATGTAGTGCACACATCTCCTCATGTTAACCCGAATTGCCATTGGAAGGAAGAAAAACTACTTGGCCTTGCACAGGAATATGCTGTCAAGATGATGGGACAGTATAAAATTGGATTTATTGGCCTAGCTGGGACGTAAGTTTTTTACGTCTCTAATAGGTTATTTTCTTTTTTTCTTTTGTCCTTTATCAAACCCTGGACATGCAAATAATACTATGGCGTTAATGATCTAATGCTGTCGCATCAGGGACTGGCCATCGAACTGTCAGCATTTACCCCCATCACATTTCCTTCCACCGATAGCA